TGATCGTAGAAACGGATAAAATAGTTCTAACATTCTAAACTATGAAAATTAACTCGCATTTTTTTTCTTACGGTATCTTACTATAAAAATAAAACAAAAGAAGTCGTCTGAGTCCGCCGTGACCATGCAAGACTGGTAAATACACCGAATCAATTTATAGTATTAATCGATTTCATTCCATACGTATATAACTTTATTTAAGAATTCAAAATTATAGTTGGCTATTTGGTTAGATCTTGGTTATCTAATTTTAAATTGGTTACGGACTTTCAACATCCCGCCCTTCAAATATGCCTCATATGAGATTACTGGATCAGTCTAAAATAATTTTTCAGGTTTAATAATTCATTTGCCGAATTAAACCTATTTTTTGTTATTATAAGAAACAGTACACTCAGAGTTTAATAGCATTGATTTATAATTATTTAGTCGGAAAAGTCGCATTTCACTCTTTTAATATTTGTTAATTAATTTTTCTGCTTTGTATTGTAAAGAAAAAAGTATTTAACCTTTTAATATTCGTTAATAAATACGAGGTTTTAAGTATCTGATATATAAATGTTTACATGTACATAAGTCAGAGCTTAGCGTAAACGTACATGTGCAGTTGTAGCTGATTCATATTCTCATGACACAGTTTACATGTATTAATGCAGAGCACCATTATTTTAACAATTATTTATATTTTTATTCAGGAAAATAATTTTTTTGAACTGTTTAGTTCTTGATGGATCTATCATGTTAAATTTATTAATTTTGTCAAAGCAGTTTTCTTTGAACCTTTCTTTCGACCGGTCTTTTGCTTTTTTTTTTCTAAGATATTAATATTTAATTGCGATTTTTGGATACATCGCAGATTGTAAGCTTTAGACATTAATTACAAATATATAATTTATTGCGTAAATTTCTTCCGTGAAATAATTTGGTACTTGTAGATAAATTTATTAGATATAAAATTAAAATGTATATTTTTTCATAAAAAATAAATCTGTTTATAGAGTTTCAAAATTCACACCCTTGAGAAGAAATTTTTAAAAAAATACAGTCTCCATTTCATAAAAATCCATTAAATCACTGTCAATTTTTTTTATATAAATAAACAACGTTTGTAAAATTACCACAGAGATCTCAAGTTCTTTTTATAATAATAATTGTATTTTATAGTTTAGATTTGAAGCTCTGCAAGTATTTAAATTAAAATATAATTTAATCTAAATCATCTTTAATCTTTGAATTTAATTTAAAATAATCTTTTCGTCTTGTCAGAAAACGTTCCGCATTTTGAAACAATCCTATCAGGTTTTGCGTTTATCCTATCGTGAAGATCGTTTATCAGGTCTATCGTGTTTTGCGTTTATCGTGTTTTGCGTGTATCGTGTTTTGCGTTTATCGTGTTTTGCGTTTATCCTATCGTGCGTGTATCCTGTCCTATCGTGCGTGTATCCTATCGTATCGTGCGTGTATCCTATCGTATCGTGTATCCTGTAAAGAATAACGATGCGGGTACTGTATCCTATGATCAAATGGTTTTTGTTTTACTTAATTAAAATCATTCGTGATATGAAGATATGATAAGCCATAACAAAAATTATTTAACCTACTAGCCTCCCTTATCATTTCCAGAGAAGCATCCTCGCTCGAAATTATTTATAGTGTTTTTTGACTCATCATGACTCATTTACCAGTTTGCTAAAATTATGATCTTAGAAAACCATAGAATCTTAAACGATTTAACTACTTACAGAGATGAATAAAATTACAGTAGCATAATGAATTTGGGTTCACTGAAAAAGAAAATATCGAATTGTCTTATCGAATGATTTGTGTTTTTTGACACTGAATTATACTGCTATCTCACATAAATCCATATGTCATTCAACTTGGGCTTAAACCTTCAAAAATTATGAAGAATACATAAAAATGCTGTATATGTATACAAATTTAAACATACAGTTATTTTGCAAAACAACAGACAAAAAAGTCACGTACTGTGACACAATACCATTATACTGCCTGGCCAGACCACGGTACTCCTGAGCCTCTCTCTCTTGTTATCTTCCTTTACCACGTTAGGAAAGTAGGGACCAATCAGAGAGATTCTCCAACAGTCGTACACTGCAGGTATATTTTTAAACTGAATAATGGACTGTTTTGGAAATATATTTCTTACCATCTAACAATTCATCATAATTGGTACTTTTATGTTTAGAACTGACTTATTTCATGTTTTTCCTTTATTTTTTTTTCAATCTTGCAGTTAACTGAAAAAAATGATTAAAAAACAAATTGCTAATTTTGACACAGTCTGTTTTTAATGCTTATTCAAGTTTTACAATTATAATACTTTTTTTCATTTTCTTGCCTTAAGTGCGGGAATTGGTAGAACAGGGACATACATAGCAATAGACGTTCTGAATGAGATAGGGAGAAAGACGGGAACAGTCAACGTTGCTGAATATGTCAAGAAGATGAGAGAAAACAGGATGAATATGGTCCAAACCTATGTAAGTATCAGTATTTATAATTTTAAAAACACCAACATGTTTTGGTTGTTCCATTTATATTGCATTACTTAAATAAAAAAAAAGTGGAAAAGAGTATTGTAAGTAACCACAACTCCTTCCTCCAAACATATTTTGATAGTAAATTCCAAACACTTTTCAAGTTTTATTACAATAAAGTTGTTATTTTTAAACTCTAAATAACCAACAAAAAACATTAACCAAAGAAGTACATGTATTACTATATATATTATATCAATGTTTTGTTTTTGTTTGTTTGTTTTTGTTTTTTGTCTTTTTTTTGTTTATTTTACTTTATGCATTACATTTTATTTTCAGGAGCAATATATGACCATATTCCTTGCTTTGAGTGAAATTTACAAATCGCCAGTTAGCTTCAATACCATTGGTGAATTTACTACAAATTCGAAGAACATGACAATAGACAAACCGGCCAATCAGAGTTCACTGCGTGAAGAATTTCAGGTACACGATACAGTAAAATAACATTGAAAGCAATGTTTTTATGGCTATAAAAATGTTTATAATGATAAAAAATAACTTGAAACTAGAGGTACTGTGAGCAATGGCTCACTAAATGATACCCTCCGCCTCCCATATGTGTATAAATGGCAGTGTCCATGTTTTGCTATGGAAAACCATAAATATGTGTCGGATCAAAAAATAAGATAGGAGGTGCACAAAGGCAATGTGTAATAAAGATTCTGTGAAAGTTTCATCAACTTTCATTCAGTGGTATAAGAGGAGTTGCGGATAAGAGATGGGTACCCCAAAGCGTAACAGACGGACGGACGGACGGACGGAATTAACGATTACTATATACCCTCCCGCTTTTCAAGCGGGGGCTATAATAAATGAGTGGTGGACAAATATGTCAGATGAGGTGATGCAAAAATATCGCTTTTAAATTGAAAGAATTACAATGTATTTGATAAGATAAAACGTATTTATCTAAATTTATTTAAAATTCAAATTTGAGGGATTTTCAAAATATTAACAGCAAATAAAAATATTAAAACATTATTCAGCTCCAAAGCCTTTTCTTGATTTTGATCCTAATTGCTATCGCAAATCCACTTTTTTCATAGATATCGTTCCCTTTCGTACGTTTCTTTTTCCCATTTGATTTTTTTATCCAGCTTTTAATGATAATACGACCTGTGTACAACGATAATGACTTCAAGCTCGCCAGAGAAGGTTGTGGAGACATGTATTCCAACGGTATTTTGCCACGTAAGTTATCCTTTGATTTTATTCTCATTCTTCAGAAAAAAAATCGAACTATGATTTTATTTTTTAAAAAATTCAACTTTAAAGTTAGTATTTTTGTTGATATGTTGAAAACCAGAGATATTTTAAATGTTTTTTTCAAACAAAATTATACATTTTGATGAAGGAAACACTTTAGCTTCCTTAATACATACAACTAAGGTGTAACTTTTAAGATTTCTTTTTTTCTCATTGTCTTCCATGATTTGTACGATAAGTTTTGTCACTTGAAACATACGTCGTTTATATTTAAAAAGAAGATGATCAAAAGATATAAGAACTGTTTGATCTCTGCCTTGTCTATTGCTTTTTTGTTTTGGTTGAAGCAGGATCCAGGCTTCAGTGTAGTTTTATATTGACATTTTAGTATAGTGTAATAAACCTGTTTTTTCTTTGGAAGTCATATTTGATACTTTTCATGCACATCCTTTCACAACGAAATTAGTCTCCATAAATAAAATATTAGGAAATCCTTTATTAAATCTTCTGTAAATAGAAGTTTGCCGGCAATATTTCTCCCCAAAAGCTTAAACATGTTGTCCATAGTAAGTAACACTTACAAATAGAAATAATCTTGCGGCATTGAAAATATTGATTGATTGATTTTATATTGTTTAACGTCCCTCTCGAGAATTTTTCACTCATTATGGAGACGTCACCGTATGCCGGTGAAGGGCTTCAAATTTAGACCTATACTCGGCACTCAGGGCCATTGAGCAGTGAGGGTTCTTTATCGTGCCAGCGCCTACCGTGACACGGGACCTACGTTTTTAAGGTCATATCCGAAAGACCCGTGACTTTCACTTCTAGTGCCGAGCGCTTGGCGAAGGAACAGTCACCACCTTTGTTTACGTCTTAGGTATGACGCGGCGCCGCGAACGAGAATCGAACCCGGGCCTCCCGATCACGAAGCGAACATTGAAAATATAGATTGAAACTATGAATGTCTCTTCCATCCCATAAGATATGAATTCAATTTTTTAAATTAAAATATGGAAAACAATTGAATAACATGATGTGTTCAGAATGGGACTAAATTTGTCAGATAAAGAGAGAATAAGGAAACACCGGTGACCTTTAATGTGACCTTTAATGTTTAAGGATCATTTGTTTATTTTCTGTTCATGTATAATTGAAATAATGTTCAATTTCTTTTTCTACATTAATTAAGTGGATAAATACAGCGTTCATTTATCATCTAATGTCCCTAAAGAGGAAACTTCATCAATGCGATAACTGTTCCAGTAAGTATTGATTTTTTTTTCATTTAACATTTATCAATTAAGGTATTTGTAAATTTTATTTTTTGTGTGCTAACTAATTACAGATTTGTGCACGACTAGTTAAGTTTTAATATATGTTAACCATTATGTGTTCCTGGTTGCTTTTAATTCATTAATCAAGGATATAATTATATTTAGGAAGTCTTTCTTTTGTCGTATTTTTTTTACAGAAAATTAGGTACGCAAAATGTACAATAAACAGAATGCGTATTACAGACCTAAACAGTGTCAAAGATGGGGCAACATCCGCCCTTATTCTGAAACGATTTTTTTAAATGTTTTAAATTTAAGATTTAAAAACCAAAATGTGAAAAACGTATAAATAAATATAAATAGGGCAACAATCGCCCTAACAAGTCACCACAGAAAGTTATTTCAGAAAAGGAGGAGGGGTGGGAGGCGGCTTCAGAAAATTGTAAAAAATGTTTACCGCGAAAAATAAATATAGAGAATAACGTTATCTTGCACGCATGCGCAATGGTGATACACCGGAATCAAGGGGCCTCCCACAGGGAGAGACTTCCAAGGAAAATAATAAAATAATGATACAAAAATATCATTATTCATAAATTTTTTTATAGGATAAAAATGTTTATGTAATTCTTTTTTTTCTTTTTTGTCCATTTGTGTAGTCATACAAAAACAAAAGAGCGTTTATAGTGACGAAGTATCCAACGGAAGAGGACGCTGTTGACTTCCTCCGCCTGCTCAATGACCATGAATGTGACACAGTCATCTGTATGGATCCTATTAACAAGATTGATTCGGTATGTAGCACTCTTTATCGAACCTAATATGAAACTGTTTCTTGTTTTTTTTAGTTTTCTTGTGATATTTGTGACAACAAGGGATTTTTTTGCATCTGAAAGTGCGATAATTCTCAATAAAAAAATAAACAAGATGCATCGTGTATGGTCTTAAGAAATTGTTAAATTCATTTATAAGCTAGGTATGTAATTCAAAACAAATATTAATGAAAACACTATGCTGATTTTGGAGTATTTACACACTCAAGATTCAAGTTTTGCAATGCTTCATTTTAATTTCAGAGTGAAGCATGGTTACCAAGTTCCTCATCTTCCAAAACAGTGCCCCCGTTTACCATCCATGTTCAAAGTCAATCTGCAAATCACATCATCAGCACTACTGTGCACATTCTCGAGAAAAATGTGAGCTAGAAAAGTCGTGTTACGCTTGTTCTGTGTACACATGAAACATAGGGAGATAACGAACAGTAATCAACATCTCCTTAAAACAATACAAAATAAGAGAAGAGCAAACACGAACCTCCAAAGCGTCAGAGGTGGGATCAGGTGCCATTGAGGAGTGAGTATCCCATGCCGACTGGTCACAACCTCTATGTGCTCCTTGTCATGGTCGGGGGAAAAGGGAAAATATGTCGGCAACTCAGTGTTTAAAAAATGAAATAACAATTCGTATGAAAAATATGTTAGCTAATTTAACTCAATGATAAATTGAATTTTCTGATAAGGTAATTGTATTGACAATATAACTTAAATGTACTTAATGATGACTTTATACGAGATGGTTTAAATTCTAATCAATAATTTACCTCGTTTTTGAAATTGTTTATACCTAATGCATGCTCTTGTGCATGGAATCAACTGGGATATAAAAAAGAACTCTGTAAACAGATAATGAATGTATATTACTGCATTCGTTAGGAACGTTGACGATAGAAAAAATTAAATCTTCACGTTTAACATATAGCTTGAATTTTTAGGTTTTCAGGATATAAATAATTTTTAAATATGTTGCAATTCAAATTTAATTAAACATGCTTTAAAGTAAGATAAATAGGATTTCTGAAAGAAAAGAAGGACAGATTACATATTGATAATAGTACAACAATACCTGTTTTCTTTAGAATGAAGAGGAGGCTCACCCTGTGACAATAATAGAACCAAAAGTAAGAATTGAAACATCCGGGACTTTTCACACATCTCCACTTCGGAGTCTTGTGTCTACCACGCTGGCCATTGAGACAGAAAATCCTATTACAATTGTCAGCAGGTGAATTTCTTTTTTTTTTTGTTACTGATGCTTGTTATCCATTTAAATTAAAATTTCAATTTGAGCTTACATCTTAAGTTCAATTATGAAACAGAAAATATCAGATGTATAAATTCATTTTTTTTTTATTTTGCAATTCCTTCCTTTAATGTTTTATTGATGCCAAATGCCGTTCTTTTTTCAACCTGTTGATTATGAAAAACGCTTTCGGACAATCCGTATTGAAATATCATATTATATATATTCGTATTTAGTGATGGTGCAGCATTAAGTGGTGTTTTCTGTGCCGTTCATAACGTAATACAACAGATCAACATGGACGCCTGTGTGGATGTCTTCACTGCCGTCAGACAACTTCAAGTCAGAAGACCGGAATTCTGTTCCAACCTTGTGCGTTTTTCAGAACCAAATATATATATTTTTTTAATCATAGGCCACGGGTCGATTTTTTTTTTTATAAATAAATAAAGACAGATGAGGTTTATAAAGGCCACATTAAATGTCATGTTCTTCAATATTAGATCGCCTAAAGCATTAATGTATCTGGAAATTTAGTTTTGCAAATTAATTCGACCACAGAACATTTATATTGTTTATTTTCTTTTTAGGATGAATATGGGTTGGTGATCAATGCTGTTTATGATCATATTCAGGGCAGTGACACAAGTATATACTACAATCAATAAAATGATCGGGATACAAGAAATGTGTAATTTTCTTCAATCAATAACAGATATATGGAATATTCATTTATTCAAGAGTAAAGGTGTCATGAAATATTCTTAATTTACATGTGTAAATGCCTTATCAAGGATATACAGAACAGACCACGAGTTTTCCGCATCGCTCGGTGGAAAAAACACCGTGTGAAACGCTCTGTGTTACACCGCGTACACGGTGTAGCACGGTGTGTGTGGATTTGAAATATACATGTAGGCACACCGTGCCGCACCGTGTCTAGAAAAATCTCAGGTAATGTCCTCCGTGTCGCACCGTGTCCAGTAAATTTCCCTCCGTGTTGCACCGAGTGTCCAGAAAATTCTTCTCCAAGCAGCTGCACCGTGTAAATAGTATTACAGACAAAATTCTCTGTTTCTGATAAAAATTTAATAAATTTTGATGACAATTTATAACTTTGGTTTATGTATATATATAATCGTTTTTATTCAACCAGATAGTGGACTCTTAACTGTGTGTCTAGACATTTTTATTTTAGTAAAATTATTCATTCATGTAACAAAATAAAAATTATGAATTTTATTTTAAATGAATAATTTAATCTCATGAGTTCATGTAAAAAAGGAAGACGAAATGGCGTCGAGCTGCATTCGTCTCGCACTCTGTATGTAGTATAAAATCCGAGCTGTATTCATGTTTATGGTTTTTACATGTACAGTACTAGTGTACGACCCAACCATTATTATGTATATTTCTTATTAAAATACATGTTTTTTATTCATCTGGAATTATTCTGAATGTGGATGCGAAAATCGTCAGCAGAAACACGAAATTAATGCAACAATTTCATAGCGTATATCTCGTAACAGCAAACATTATTTTCATAGAGTGTTGTTCACTACCACGTTATGTTTTTAAAATCCTTTCAGTGTAAGTAATTATTTAAAAAAAGAATTTCTTTATTCTAATAAGTTTTTCTTTTCTTGTAAAGTGTATAAAAAGCAGTACCAGAGAGAGAGAGAGAGAGAAACTCATACAACCCCCTTCTGACATAGTCTGTAATGTTTTTTTTTTTATTCTTCGTTTTATTTAAGATACGGAGGTCACAATTAATCATTCTATAATTCTATTTAATTGCCACAACTTTTGTTCATATTCAATCCATTTACTGCAATCAAATTCGTTCTCTGTATAAATGCTGTACGCACAAAATCCTCGTGCATCACCTGTCCCATGACGCTAGGTGACCTTGAAAGTCTGTTTACGCGGAAAGAATTTCACTTGTGATTTGAAACAATCTTATGGTCAGTTCCAAGTTCACACCTGTTTAAAACATATATTGGGTCTCTGCCGGTGGGCCAGGGGCGCCGTATGTTTATCACACCTTTCAAATTCTTTAGCTCTGACCACGGCAAGTGTATAACACACTCAACTGATATCATGCGAAATTCATCTTCCAAGTTTCACTACAACAACGATTATAAACCTACTTGTACATTGTTAATTTATTTATCCTATTTCAGACACAAATAAGCATGTTTTTCGTAGATTAAGATTTAAAAAAAAACATAACAAGTCATAAATTTGCTGACTTCTGATAAAGTTTTAACCAGCCGATTCGTATCACTTTCTAGAAGGGGGGGGCATATTTAAAAATCGCTAAATATCTTTGTTTTCTCAAACTGTGGGTTTTTTTTCGTTTCATTTTTCACACGATATTTTTCAGAATGAAGTAATATTCGTACCGAAGTTAGTACATTTCATTTGCCAAAAATTCGGCTGGTGATTTTTGTATTCAGCGTATAAGTTGATCACTATTTTAATTAAAGAAATTTATCAGATTATCATCTCTGCCTGTTCAATAGATTTTCGAGTTTACTGCAATTAATATTTATCTCCATATTTTACATAATCACAGATTTTCAGTGTTAGTCACGGCAATAACCCTTATCTGAACCTGTCCAATGATTCGCCGAGTATCGGTACCGGTATCAAAGAGCAGAATCAATGTGCGAGTCTGATTCGTATTAAAAAAAAAATATTCTAGACATAGAACATATATCTTAATATATATATTTTTTTAAATTCTTACAAAATATTAATTCACTTAGTATAATCATGCATCTGATATGTACTACGTATGAATGCATACGTAGGGGAAGAACGATCTTGTATCAACAATTTAATTGAACACGGTTAAAATCAAATTGAATCGAAAGTAGAGACATTCAAGTAATTCATTTATAAAAGTTTGTTTCCTCTAAGTGTAATATAATAATAATAGTCTATTTAACTTTTTATGACTAATATAATTAGGATTTAACTTGAAACGTAATTGTACATTTCTTTTTTGGCTGGACACGAGTACGTTGATATTAAATAGGGCATGTTAAAAGTTTAAACATCTGTATGCGATAAATTAATACAAATATTAATTTAAGGAAAAGTACAACAAATATTTCAAAAGAAATTTGATTAATTTTATTAAATAAGGGCAATGAAAATGTTTAAAATATTCATCAGCAGAACTGTGACACACCGTGTTACACGGTGCACAGAAACGCTGACTTCAAAGACGCCGACAAGTCCACGCTAAAGCGTGGACTTTCTGTCCACGGGGCCCCGTGTTTTTTGCGGAAAACTCGTGGCCTGTACTGTATGTATATGAAGAATATCATGGGAAAAATATAATCAGAAGAAGAAATCAATAGTGTTTAATATAGAGCATGTATTATATTACCTTTGCATTGACGCAATATCTCTAATTTTAACATTGATTTTTGGTAATTTAATATAGAGAAAAATGTTCCATGTCAGATACTTTGACTTTAAATAGATTTGTATTATGAAATAAATGTGTTTGTTGCACATGTCTTTAAAGATATTTTACCTATTTTTATATGTTCATCTTTTTGTATTTTTGGGGGGGCGGGGATGGGGGTTAATGACTTAATGTGTTCCATCTTCTCCTAGTGAAGATCCATTTTGTAGTGCATTTTACTCTTAAGTATCTTTGGAGATATATATGTACAACGGCCATTCAAAATCTGTATTTAGAAAAAAAATGGCGACATAGTTGTGCAGAATGCCTCGCTTAATATTATTTTTTTCATAAACGCGTTTTCATTTCAAATATCTTTAGTTTTTGTTTGTGGCTTTTTTTTTGGCAAAAAAATGCCTTCTAGAGTTCTATAGAAATTGAATTGCATTCCAGAATAAGAATTTGAACACAAGACCACTAATATTTAAGTAAAATGGCATAATAAACTGTTTTTGTCCTCTTTTAATTCTTTGCTCTTTTCAGACCGTTGCTGTTTTGTCAAGTGCTTCTTATTGTAAATTAAAATGTTTTGAGTGTAATAAAGCAATGAATGCAAGCTTCATTATTTGTTTGAATTTTAGACTAACGTGGATAACTACAGTCCCTGAAACGTTCTACTTTCCCACCTGAACGGTGATCGAACGGTGAACGAACGGTGAACGAACGCAGAGCGAACGGTGGCTGAACGAAGTGGGTTCGGTGAACGCAACTTGGTGAACGATGTGTGAACGGTGAACGGTGAGTGAACGCAGAACGCGAGCGGAGCGCGAACGCGAGCGCAAAGTGAACGGTGAACGAACGGTGAACGCAAGATGAACGATCTATTCGGAATGCCTTCGGTCTTTTCCTTGTTTTGAAATTATTCTTTTATTCTATGATTCAAATGTCAAAAATAAATATAAATACATAATAGATAAACAAAAGAGAAATAAATAGATAAATAAATAATAAAACAAAAATTTCTACACATACGTATGTTTAAAACGATATTTTAAAAACATGATTTTAATCGCCACCAAACGTGTATTTGTTACCGCGTCCAGTTAAAAAATAAATTAATCTTATACAGTAAATAATTATGCTTATTCTTTTAACTAATAAAATAATGTGGATTTTAGAAGATAAAACTACTACTGAGATAAACAAAAGATAGATAAATAAACAAATAAATAAAAACATTTTTTTTCTACACATACCTATGTTTAAATCGATATTTTAATAACATGATTTTAATCGCCGTCAAACGTGTATTTGTTACCGCGTGTACTTAAAAAATAAATTAATCTACTTATATAGTAAATAAATATGCTTATTCTTTTCACTAATAAAATAATGTGGACTTCGGAAGATAAAACAGCTACTTATAGACTGAATTAATTACATTGTACGGGGTTGAAACAACCGTACTGTATTTCCGTGCGAAAGCGATTCTGAGTACAATAACGGATTTTTTTTTTTTTAATTCAGAATTATCTGTTGACATTGATTATTATCGTACTGCATAAAAATTCTCGTTTTATGTAAATTCTACTGCAAAATATTCTATATTTATGTGCCTTTTTATTCTTTTATGACGATTATTTTAGCTAACTTCTTCATGTATCTGTAGACATTTCCCGGCCGTGATTATACTCGGTCAAGATGTTGGAAAGAGGCATTCAAATTATTTGTAATACATGTGTAGATTAAATTTTCAAAACTAAATAAGTAATGTGTTGTCATGGTTTTTATTGAACAGAGAAATGTACGAGAGAGAGAGAGAGAGAGAGAGAGAGAGAGAGAGAGAGAGAGAGAGAGATAACCCCCTTGATTCTCAGATATGTGTTGTTTCAAATAAATATTCTAATTATTTTTCCTAAATATTCCAAGCAATAAAGGTGATAAAGGTAATCTTTTTTTTTAGATTAACAAATTCATTTGACAGTAATTATTGGCTTTCATTTTCCATCATGAAGTTCACACAGTTCACAGGAAGTCCGTGCTATAATTGTAGTAGCGTGTTTGTGCTGTCAATCAAAATAATTCGACACAGTGGAGGTGTGGAAATCGCGTTTCACCGAACATGCCGAAGGCAAGGAGTCACTTAGTATTCCAAGAAATTTTAATATTTTTCCCTATCATTTCTAGATCTGATTTTTGCATTCCTGCAGAAAAAAAAAAATAATTTGAATATATACTTGGAAGGATTGAGTTTTAAATTGAATATAAAACATATTCCCTGCCAATTCAAAATACTACTGTCGGCACAAGTTTATACTAAAATACTATTGTTTAATGACTGTTTGATGTTGGTTTTAAGACTGATTTTCTTGTGTTACAATAAAAATTAAATATTAATTAAATCATACTGAAAAAACTCAGTAAGAACTTTATTTCGGGAGAAAAGGCACCGGGGGGGGGGGGGGGGGGGGATTCTTAATTATACTGAATAGCAAAAAAGATATTTTTAAACATGTTAAGGTACGGAGAAGGAAGGAATTTTTCTTCTCTTATAATAAAATATTTTAAACAGTTGGTCTTTTCTAAAATTTAAAACCACACCATCAATTTAATTAGCTCTAAAGATATTTAATTAACTAAATATTTGTAGTACTGTTCATAGTTCTCAAACCTACATGTAGTTCAAAAACGTGTTACTGCAGAAATAATTTTTTATGTATTCTTGTCCTGTAAAAGACTTGGATTAATTATTATACATCCATTAATAATTTGTCCTCTTTGAAATTACATCAAATTGATGCCGTGCGTGAAGCATTTGTACATTGCCCTTTTTTGAATTTAATATTTTAGCATCGTTCTACATGCATGTAGGTACTTAATGTATTAATTATTTGCCAGGGAAAATTCATGAAATAAGTAACAGCTGAGTTATAATAATAGAAATATAAATATCAAAGATAATTTTTGCAATGAAATAATTATTCTTTAAACACGATATCTAAGTTATTTAATTAAAAAACATGTAAATCCTTACCATCAAAAAGATAAGTCCTTTCACTTCGGAGTTCCGAATGACAATGAAGACTGGACGATAAGTGAACGGTGAACAAGGTGAACGCAAAGCAAACGGAACGAAGAGCGAACGGTGAACGTTTTGTGAACGGTGAACGCGAGCGCACGGTGAACGGTGAACGCAATACTGTGAACGAAGAGCGAACGCTGAACGCACGCTGAACGAACGGTGAACGAACGCTGAACGAACGGTGAACGAACGGTGAGCGAACGGAAAAATGGGAAAGTAGAACGTTTCAGGGACTGTACAATTTCTGATTTAAAAAATAATTGTCTAGATATTCTTACACAAAGTTCTTTTTACTCATTTTCCAAAAGATAGGGTGACCATTAGGACTCATCTTTTTTACTGTCAAATGAAATCGAAACAAATGCTATTAAAGGAGATTTTCTCATCTTAAAATTTTACTAAAATACATGTAAATCAAATCTTAAAGAAAGGTGTTTCTGTGAAATATCTTAACACTATGACTTATATAAGTGTAAACAGAACAAAAAGATAAAAAAAAATATGTGCAGCTACAAAGATCTAAAAGTTTAATTCAAACCCCGCTTTTTGAATGCTAGGTGACATTAAATCTGATTCTTCTGTCCGTCTGTAACAAAATAATTAAACTTTGTCATATCTCTTTGAAGATTAGTGATGGGACTTATATATTATGCATAAATAGAACTCGTGACAAGACCTTTCTAAAGTATACTATGATTTTAAGCCCCGTGACCTTGAATTTTTTAACTACTTAAGGAAATTCAAGCTTTTTTTTAATTGAATAATATATTCCTATGTAATGTCAAGGGGGATACTTAATTATCTTGGTCATGGGTACCTGATCCCACTTCTGAGATTTCCACAGGTCAATAATGAACTAATTACATATCTGCATTTTAATTTTTTAAAGCATGAGTATTTGTCTATTAACTATGGAAATGTTCATTCTGTTGTCGATACGATATATCCTGGTGAACTTAGATTGAACAAAAAGATATTACAGAGTCTGTCAAATCCTTTTGATATTTAGATATTTTACTTGAAAAAGACGTAAATGTGAATCTAACAGCCAAGCTCTCTAATAAACGAGAATTTTTCTATCGTCAGATTTCCTTATTAATGCAGCAATATACTTTCAATACCTGCATACGGAAGTTACATATCTTTATTGATTAGATACTCAAGAGCATACTTTACGTTTAAATATAATGGAACTAAAATTCACTTTAATAATGCTACTCTTCAATATGTGTTTAATGTACAATGAATTTTATTTTCAATGTATCATTATAATTATAAAGCGGCACTTGAAATTGTACGGATATTTACACTGCAAAACGATGATAACGGAATGATTTAATCATTGTTTATAGAAATCACACATAACACCATAAGACCAGTCTGACCAGAAGTGTGTGCAGAAGTCCATTTGTATTGTAAAATAATAAGTTTTATATCAGAATTTAAAATGTCAAACTGTTTTTAAACTCGGTTTAGGTACACAGTCAAAGTGCATTATGTTTAACCTGTTTTTAAATTTGTTCGAATATCTTATGTTATTTATAGATAACGTAAAACACACTAAAACATCTATTTTTGGTGTACACGAAAATAAGCGGGGAATTCCTTTAAAACTGAAAGTTGGAATTAATCAGTGTTAACAGAGGTAAGTGTTTTATTCATAAAAACAATTAAATATGCATTTTCTATAATATGTTTTTCTTTTTACTGTTGGATACTTAATAAGTGTCTTTCTATTGAACTAAAACAGCAGCAGTATGTGCCTGTATATTAAAAGGTAAGTTGCACGAAAACGAAAACACGACTTTTCTTTTGTAAATTCTATTTTGTTTAAATTCAATTATTTTCTTTACTTCAATAAAGATAAAATGTAAATGTTACTTTTTTGAAAGCAATTTTTTGTCTTGTTGAGTTTTATAAATGAAAATATATCATCTACTTTTTTTTAATTTAATAATACGTTTTCATTTGTTTGATTCCTTAATATTAATGTAAACTAAAACATATAGACTACAAATATCAGGAATCCTTCTAGATATCTTTAAACAGGAATATTGTATTAATGTGTTCTTGCAAATGTATCTTGCTTCAATAACATTTAATATCCCTCTTTAGACAAATTTGTCGATTACTGATTGGATAAAAGCTAATCACATGACGCCCTGAAACTTTCCTTATTACGTCTCCCTTTCCATATCACGTCTCCGTCGAGGCGTAATATGAAAATCGGGCACGCGATTCCATTCGAAGCGCTGTTATTGTAAATAAAAATGGCGGTTTAGAAACGGTAAACGTGGGTAGTTTAGTTATTTTTCTTGTTACTGTAACGATTTTTACGTCTATTGTTATTGGATTAAAACTAATATTTTCATAATATGCAAAAATATATTTTTTTTTATATTGAAAAGGGTCTTTGGCGGGATACATTAGTTACACAGTCTGTTAGAGACCTAATACGGATTCATACAGGGTGTGGAATGAAAATCCGTAGTTGGACTCGGCTTTGCCTCGCCCGATACGGATTTCCATTTCACACCCTGTATGAATCCGTATTAGGTCACTAACTGACTGTGTGACTAATAATCTAATTTAATGTAAAAAGAATGATAGTTTTTTAGAAAAGAAAATATATACTGCAATTAAAAATCTGATTTAAAAAATGTAGATAATATTCCATTATTTAACGTTTATTCGATTATATGGCGCCCTTATTATCAACGACTATAGCTACCTCACTACTTTCGATAAGGACGAAACTTAGAAACAAAATAATTGAATCAGCCAAAAAGTGTATGAAATTGATGTCATCCTGCAAGTGATGCATTGGAATACAACGTACAATTTCTTTTCAAGAAGATAATGAGGGTTCTTAAAGATCAAGGTAGTCCATGAATGAAAATAAGAAAAATGCAGAACAACTATTTAATTTTTTTTTTTTTTTTTAGATAAGATTTTGTTTTATCAGCAATTACTTTAAAATCTATAGACCAGACTGGATTTAAAACATTTCTTTTAATCCGTGCCACTTTTGTTAAAAAAACTTGTTATAAGTACATTGTATTTCAAAAGTTGTATTAAAGTTAACTTAAACACATCATTGTGCATAAAAGTCCTCTTTTGGAAATTTATTGAAAATTTATAGAAAACTTAAAAGAAAAATATTTTGAGTGAAAAATCAATCATCTTTTTTATTTAAAAGATCAAATACTTGCAGCACAGAGAATATTAAAAGATATATTTTTCAAATGCTAAATTAACTGTAAAAATGAAAAGCCACAATACTCCTTATACTTTAAGATAAACAGTATAAGGGAACTCCAAGGTCAACTGCAAGATTTATAAAACAAAAGGCCCATGGGCCTTATAGGTCACTTGCGCATCATGCAACAACTTTGAAATGATTGAATTTGGTTCATGTTTTTAGCGAGATGCCATGGCATTCACAATTTTGAAAAAAAGGTACCATTGCTAATCATAACTATACACTTAGCAAATGTTTAGTCTGTTTACTTAATACCCATAAGCAGGGTTAGGGAACAAAAATGCATGTCAACTAATCAGTAATAGAGCAGATGCTCTAACCACTGCAACACGCGAGCGACTGACGCAATACAGAAAATAAAATACAATGTTATAAGGCAAAGTTGAGCAAACATTAATATCTATAACAAAAGCGATATGGAGTCACCAAAGACGCATTAATAATTACAATTCAGCTGTTTTTTTATTTACAATGCCAAAAACCCCACGAAATGTTTTTTTTCCTAGATAACTTAAGCTACTTAATACAGTTTTATTTTTGATCTTATCTAGTTAGTTTTCATTTCAGGTGTCTCTAAAGGATTATTGTGAGAAGAACATTTTTTTTATAAGCGATGCCTTTTTCAATTAGTAAGTTTATGTTTTTTTCAACCAGCTTTTAATATATGCATGTAGATGCACGTAGATGTCTGTCATTTTCTTGTAATATTATTTTAAGTGTTAAATGTTCCCTTGAAATCGTAAAAATGACAAAAAGTTTCAAGATAAAAATTATATCACTTTTATACATAGGTTGACATCCACTTCTTCCTTCCTTAGGTATTTCTCTGTATCCTATTGTAAATATTTTTCACACGATTTATTTTGTAATACTGTGGTTGAGAGCCAAAAAAAAAAAGAGTAAATGGCGCATTAATGTTCAATCAGTGATAGGTTGATTGATTGATTGTTTATTGTTTAACGTCCCTCTCGAAAATTTTTCACTCATATGGAGACGTCACCGTATGCCGGTGAAGGGCTTCAAATTTTGACCTTTACTCGGCACAAGGGCCATTGAGCAGTGAGGGATCTTTATCGTGCCAACGCCTGCCGCTGACACGGGGCCTCTGTTTTTAAGGTCTCATCCGAAGGACCCGCAACTTTCACTTCAAAGTGCCGAGCGCATGGCGAAGGAACAGTTGCTACCCATTTGAACGACTAGGTCATTCGCCTTAGAAACCCAAAAACTTAACTGACAAACAAATGAATGTACAGACGATAGAAGGGATTTCCTGGTCACTATACAAATAAACACTTCAACATTTCAAGCAGGGGTTTGCAAAACATAAAGAATCTTGTTCTCTTTTTAGAGGGTTTTGGAGGTCTTGGAGGAGTTCCAAAGGTAACCACTCCTGGTTTACCAAGACCATCGGCTGGGCAGCCACCAAGTGGCCCAATTAGAGGCCCTCAACGACCGCCACCTCCACCTCCAACTAAGGGAAGGTGTTTGACAAAATGATCGTAGAGTAACAATGTGAACAGATTTGCATGACATTTTGAGGAAAAATAAATGGAATATGCACGATCTAAACGCTAAATTAAATAAAAAAATAAGATGAATGTGCAAAGATGGTACTTAACTTTATGTGAATTTATATCTGGAATAAACCCGTTAATCATTTTTTTCTTTAAAATAATGTGACGTTTTCACAGATTGCCCTGTACAAAATATAGTTCAAGGAAGAAAAAAATCTAGCAAATGTATTAAATGGACGTTTTTTTTAAAAAAAAAAAAAACAATTTTAAAATGAATATATTTAATGGAATTTATAATTCTTAACTAAGGCATATTTTTTAATTTCTTTGCTATGGTTTTGAGTATATTGTAATTTGATTTTAAATAAAAGGTTTAAAAAAAGGAATTCGTCAATGAAAATATCAAAAGTTAATGTCAAGAAAGTAGGCTGAAAGTAGGTTTAAAAAGTGTAAAAAAGGATATTTTTTTCAAAAGCATCTTTAGGACTTCAAAAATTCGAACCCCCCTCCCCCCGAAAAAAAAAATGATGTTTGCAAAATATTAAATGAAGCTATCAGTGCGTCTTATTATTATTTTTTTAATATCTTTTTTTATTTTACATTAAAACATGCAAAATAAATAAATTGGAGCCTTTTATTTTTCTTTGTAGATATATGTATATTCGTATTTATATATATAGAAAAATAAACAAGAGTTTGGAAAAGGTGATCACATTTTACGCATAAGCGCTTTCGCCATTCAACTCTTCAGTGGATTTTGAATAACAAAAGTAACATGACATGATATCGTCGTTATTATGACGTCATAGTAAAAGGACAACGTTAAAATTTGGCGCAAAAATGTCCATAGAAATCGCCAAAATAAAAAGACTTGACACTGAAAATAATACATATTTACTCACAATGATCAATAATTAATAAATTTTTCAAACAATATCAACATTTTTTAATATTTATATAAATATTACCGATATGAATTAAATTAGGTTTTTAATACCGTCATGAGGAGAAACTATGGAAAAATACTATTATTTAAATACACTTTATATTATATGCTGAATAATATAAATGCAAGATTTATAACTTTTGGAACATACATGTATATACAATTCAAACAATTTTATCCCCCTTTAAAGATATATACTTAATGGTATCCATTTAAAACGGACTGTTACATGTTCAGAGACGCAGTTTAACCTAAAGTTGTGCCTATTATGATTGATCATCATAATATTTTAAAAGCAGCAACTAGTTGAATAAACAAAATATATTAACAAAGGGAAGCGTACATGTACTTAATGGACTTAACGGATAATCTATATTGCCCATATAGTTAAAGATCAAATAGGAAAAGAAAGTTCACTTACACTGATTTATATTTTCGGTTTGATTAAACTTTATTTATCAATATGGCAATTATCACTTACACATGTTTTGGTTTATGCATTTCGTCAAAGTCCATAAAATAATACAAAATAGAAACAGAGCAAACACGGACCTACGAAACATCAGAGATGGGATTAGGTGCCACGGAAGAGTGAGTATCTTCTGCTTATTAATAGAAAAAATTAATATAATCGAAGTAAATAATTTTCATTATTATATGTTTCCCTTAAATGGAAAGCTATTTTTTTTTTTTTGGGGGGGGGGGGTGTGAACGAACAACAACAAAACGTTACGATAATTGACTACAGGTCATTGTAATCACCTGTCAGATGAGTATGGTAAAACAAGTCAGGCACTTGAAACTTTATCATAAATCCTTAAGGGTGTGAAGATCTAACATTTGCTAAGTTTAAATATTGTGTTTGGTGTTTAAAGTCCGTTGTGATATTTTTATAATATGAATACATAGACGTATTATTATCTCTAAGTACATGAAAGCTGTGGTTGTGGATTCAAATTAATTCAAAAATAAATAAATAAAAAAAGACAAAGGGAAAAATATTGCTTTACAAAGTGAGAAAAAAAATAATTATATTAATGAAAAATATGCATCTTCATTTTGTATGAAAATTGTGTTCTAAATTATCTGCTGAAGAGACATTTAATTCACCCTTTTAATCCTGTTTAAATGCATCCTTAAATTCGGCCTTGGTCAGGTCAAGTCACTTTGTTTGCCAAGTTACGGGTCCTTATTGCACAATGTTGATGTGTCGAAGGGTTATTATTTGCATAAAATTGTATTTGTATTTAATATTCAACAGAACTAAGCACTTGAACCGAAAACAAATATTGATAACTTTATTATTACAGACCCTGAGACGTGCTACTACTCCACACGCTCGCTGCACGAACGGTACACGAACGCTACACGGTTTGCACGAAACGCTGCACGGTTTACACGAAACGCTACACGGTTTGCACGAAACGCTACACGGTTTACACGAAACGCTTTGCACGAAAGTCTGCACGGTTTACACGAAAGGCTGCACGAAACGCTTTGTACACGTTTCTCCCACGCTTTGTGCACGATTCTGGCACGGTTTGGATTTTTCTACTCGGAATAACTCGGCATTTTTACCGCTTTATCATTACTTCAATGAAAATCGCTCAAAAAGCCACATTAAGCACCTGTTTAAATTAAATTTAGTACACTTGTATTATAAAAACCGATAGAAATATTTAATACTCTGACAGTTGTAATTAATTGATAAATAATTGTCAGTTCGAATTTATTTATTTATTTATCTAACTGTTTTAAAACGAAATGCCGATATAGTGAATGACTGTTTAATAATATACAATTTTTATCTACAGGTATTAGTCATTCATTTCAATGAAATATTTTTACGAGTATAATTTGATAAATTGATTTAATAAATTGAACACAAATTCGATTTCTCAACGCAGGAATATAAACTCATTGATTTTTTTTTATAATATTGATTATATTGTGTTTGATTTCCGTAGGCGGATTATTTTTTGTGATTTTGATTTTAAATTATAAATTAAATTTGCCTATATACTCTACTAACGATTATTGATACATTTTTAAAGATTTTTTTTTTTACGCAAGCATTATCAATAGGAGGGAAACCGGTAAGGGGGGTGTTAATGTGATCTATTAATCTATTCTATTCTCTTTCTCTTTTTACATGAAGCTTATCAAATAACATCAGTATACCCATCATACTGTAAAATCCTTCATTTCAAAACAGGACTAAACGTATGTTTATATGTGTACATTTATTAAAAGTCGCGGCATTTGACTATACATTGTACATACAATATAGATCGATCTTCACACCGGCATTCAGGTATATTACAAGAAAACTGAAATATCTTAGATGAAATAAAAAGTACGTGATTTATAAAACAAATAATATACAATTATTCATGATTTACTTCTAAGCTTTTCTTACATGATATTCATAAAAAGACTACCAAATCAGTTCTGTTTATTTTACTGTTTACGGCTAGAAATTCGGATTTACAAATAAAAGATGAAATCCGCTGATTTATAAGTTGTACCCATCAAATATTTATAGAACCATTTTATTTAAAAAAAATAAAATCCAGTCGTAATTTTCAGGTGTCATTAAGCCGTGAACTCAGCATGTACATATAGCAAAACAGGTTTTCAGTTGCAATGCACTCTGAGCCCGTGATCGCTGTTGTAAATGACCTTGATCATAGTTGAAAGGCGGAAAGAAGATTCCAATACATTTTTAAGGAGTGTATCTGCGCATACATTTAACAACAAATTTAAACAAGAATAGAAAATTAAGCATTTAATTAAACTAACATTAGATTGAAAGCTACAACAAAAAATGAAAGACTGTACTAGTAATTTAATTTAACACCCCCCCCCCTCGTTTATAAAGATATGGTCGTCAGTGCATGTGAATTAAAATTATAAAATCCATTTTTTTTACAATAATGAGCAACAAGTTTTATGTATTAAAAGATATTAAATGACACATCGTTTCAAATGTAAAGACAAGAGCGGAATCCTGATATATTTTTGATTTAAATTTAAAAAAAATATTACCGGTATTTCTTTCTTTCTTTGAGAAAAAATATTTAAGAAGCCACGATCGCGTTGATACATGTAGTATATTGAATACAGTGCCCTTAAAATTGTTGTACATAGTTGATTTATTTGAACACATTTTCTCTAGAAGGAAAAGAAATCAAACAAATATAAATCATACATTACCATTTAATTTCATTTTGTTGTTCTATTTTTTTTTTTTTTTTTGATTTTACTCCTATAATATCACAAGCATAACTAACTCAATTATAAAATACTAATAGAATTTTACATCCTGACCCATCAATAGCCATATTTAAAATGAAATGACTTCCGAATGAATCTTACACGATTCTTGCACGAAAGTCGCACGTTTTTTACACGGTTCTTACACGAAAGTCGCACGCTTTTTGCACGCTCGCTACACGGTTTGCACGAAACGCTTTGGAGCTTACACGAAACGCTGCACGGTTTACACGAAACGCTACACGGTTTGCACGAAACGCTGCACGGTTTACACGAAACGCTATACGGTTTGCACGAAACGGAAAGCGCACGAAAGCCACACACTTTTTTGGGGTAGTAGCACGTCTCAGGGTCTGTAATATATACACTATATAACACAACACTAATTAAGAAATTGTTTGAAAATAATGTAATTAATGTCTTTAATATGTCATCATGTGTATTCATTTCCTTTTTTCAAAATTTATATGACATATAAACGGGCTTTCATCAAATGCAATTTGATTTTTACTAATTGCTTCTTTAAGCACTTTCTAAATACAAATAAAATAACGTGTTGTTTAAAAAGTTCATTTTATATTTGCTGTTAATAAAAGCCAGATTTTACTGTTTACCAAATGGCACTTTTCTTCTGAAGCTATCTATCCCGCTCCTTCCAATATTGGAAGCTCTTAAGCTACCTACAAAAAGTGTTAGAAGGATCCTTCCAACATGTTCTGTAATAGTCAAACCTTCTCCTAGTTTTTCAATTTTCTCTCTGTATGGATATTTAGTGGCACAGAGAACAGCAACATGGTAACATTTGTTTAAAAACATATCATACTTTATGGAATCATTGTTTGTCAAACAAGCTTCAATTAGAGCAACCGTTAAATCTGGGCTATTTCTCTGAATGCCAGGATAAGTGTAGAGACAAATTGCATACATACATTTTTTCCATCTTGTCAGCTTTTGTGTGCTTTTAATAAGTCTTATAACAGGAGTGTGATTTTTATCTTTTCTAATTTCAAT